TACATGTTTATTCAGAGAAAGTACGTTTTTGTGTCTGATTTCGTAACTTAATTAATAGTTAGCACTAATTAATTAGCATATTTGAGGTCACCCCCGGGAACCATTAAGATCGACGCTTAGATCGTGAAAATCCGATCATTAGAACAAAAGTTATTCAGGGTGATATCTTTTTTTTTTGCGGACTGTACACATCCTACACTTTATAAGAAAAAAGGAGAAAAACGCAAACCTGGAAATTTTAAGATTTTTACCTGGAAAACCTGGAAAAATCAGGGAAATTTGAAATCTGTTTTGAGTGGCCACCCTGACTGATGAATCGTAAAGGTGTACTCGTATTGTCTGTCACCTCCATCTGCTTATTGTGTGTGGTAGGGCCACATACTGACTTGATCGGAAGACTTCGTGTTATCCTTCTTACTCACCTGACCTTTAGTCATTAGATTGCTACCTCATCCAGTTTTCCTGGATAACTATCTTCATCAAAATTGGCCATCAATGTAGCAGACTTGCGCTAAGCAGTCTGACTCTTTTGCGTCCCACACTCCCCAAGTTTTATCACAAGAGAATTGCTCAACTGAAAACATGTGGACAAGAGATGCCGGATGCCGATGGAGCTTACTTTGATGACTAACAATAGGCTACCCTTTCTGTAGGTTGTTTTATTTTTTTCATGCTGGGAAACTTTGTAATCCTCCTTACTCACCTGACCTTTTGCCATTAGATTTCCTCCTCATCCATTTCCTGGATAATCATCTTCATCAATGAAGCAGACTTGCGCTAAGCATTCCCAGATGTCTCGAACCACCAGAGTTTTTTCAATCAGAGAAACTGAAAACATGTTGACATAAGATGCTTTTAAAGATCTCTTAATTAGTTACCTTGTAGTTGTAAGACACTCACTTGGCAATCAAAGATGTAGATAATCTTTATTTGGTAGATAAATATTTATTTACCTTTGAATCTACGATCAGTTGAGCATTGACTTTTAAATACAAATCATCTTAATTTTTTAGATGAAATTTTGACTCTACTTTTACGAATTCTTTCAGGTATTGGTTATTTAGGTCTTGGGGACGAGTAGGAACAACTATCGGTGGTAATAAACTTGATGCTCAGCCTACTGCCAGTGATGCCATTTCTGAATTTGAAAGAATTTATTTAGAAAAAAGTGGTAATCATTGGTGGAACAGAAAAAATTTTGAGAAAAAACCTGGATGCATGTATCCATTGGAAATTGATTATGGTCAGGTAATAATATTTTAACTGATAAGTTATTTTAGTTCAGATGTAAGCTAGATAATTGCTAAAAGATTTTTCTTTTTGTTTTTTATAGGATAGTGAACACTTAAAAGAACTTAAACCTGGTGATAATTCCAAACTACCTAAACCTGTTCAGGAATTAATATGTTTACTATTTGATATTGAAGCAATGAAGAAAGCTATGGTAGAATTTGAGGTTTGTATTTTTTTCTTGGTTAATACTGAATTAGTTGAAATAAGCGTTATGTTGTTCGTATTAATATTATATTTTATTTCAAATCTTTTAGTTTTCAAATTTTACAATGTAATTAGACGTACTTGGAGTGATGTACAATTTTCTAAATTAGTTATAAACAGACCTTAGTTATCTTATTGTTCTAACGCACAGGTATTTTTAAACCAATTTTTTTAAGCCTTAATGCTATCACAGCATTTCTCAATAACATATTTCATTGCTCTGATATTTCCCAGTTCATTGTTCTAATATTTGTTAATTGCAAATTTCATTTGTTTGCTATTCCAAATGCTGAACCAAATCAAAAATGACATTTGGCTAATATCAACAGCAAAAATACAGTGTAACGTCGCATATCTGGGCTTCCCTTTTCCAGAAGGGTCGATTTCTCAGACTCTTTTTAGCAATCAAAAGAAACAAACATCTCTTCTTCCCATATCTTTAAAAAAAAAAGTATCTTGACAGGCTTTCTCTCCTTTTCTAGCTTCTAGTGAGTTATGCATGAAACCTATAAATCAACAAAAAGGGGAAGAGAAGACCGTCCATTGACCGTTAATGACGCTTCTCCTCTGAATTGCGGGAAAAAGAGGGGGATTTGTTTTCAAAAGAGTGCAACTGAGTCCCCCCCCCTTCTTTCCTGTGCAGCTGGCTAGTAAAAGAAGCATTTCCTGGAACCTTTTTATTAGAGTATTAGGGAAAGGGTAAACACGGCAAGCGTTAACATGGAGAGGGAGTCAAAATGGAAAATTTGAATAGGTCTAAAAGGATACACGTCCTTGAAAAACGTTTGTTCTTCCTCATACCATTTAATATTTAAGAGGCGGGGGAAAAGGGGGGATAATGTTCTTTCTTTAGCAGATTTTTTCAGTCACATACAAGAAAAAATAAAGAGAACCCAAACTGCATGTTGTGTCTTAATGCAGGGTTCCCACGGTCCTTGAAAGTCCTTGAATTTTTTTTTGCTAAATTTAGGTCCTTGAAAGTGCTTGAAAAACGTCTTAGGTCCTTGAAAAACTTGATAGGTCCTTGAATTTGTCCAATACTGCCGGCGGCCCTTTTTATAAAACACCCGCGGATCTTTCTCGTTCTTTCTGTTTTGTTCCCGAGCTCTCTCACGTGGTTTTTAACGCCACCGTTTCTAACCGGGCCTAGCGTCTTGGTGTCTGCCAAGCGCGCGGAGCACAGCAGACAATCAATGCGTTCGGGGCGAGACTCCACTTCATCTTCTGTCGCATATGCTTAGATCTTCTT